GAACGAGCCGTTTTAGGTAGGCGTGGTTAACTCTTAACTTTTATAAAGAATATCTCTTTGGATTTGAGACTTTAGTCTTTACAACTTTACAGATCTTCTTTATGCACCAAGAGCTTGTAACACTCCAAAGAGAAAGGAAAAAATGAAATCGCATCATATGACCCCTTTAAATGAAGATTCTCAAATCATTAAAAAACTGTAATATATATATATTTAATATAGTAATATGTAATTTAATTAAAATCAGAATAAATTAAATGCAATACAACAAATAGTCCCATGATGTAGAAATACTTCACAATTGAAATAATATTTTCTGGTAACATAACATAACAACATAACATAACATAACATAACATAACATAATATATTAATCGATGATTATTTTATTGCACACAGAACAGATAATCTAATAATAGGGGGTTTACTGACATGTAAGTGAAAAAGTAGTATCCGGCTAGTCATGTGATCTTAACATGTGCCATACTCATTTCTTTAGGTTTAAAACTAGATAAATAAGTGCACCTTTAATATTAATCTTATTCTTAATATTTATCAGAATACAGAATCATCTGTCTTCCTTGCTTCTCTATCATTTTCTCTCTTTCCTCTCTCGATCTCTCTCTTTTCCACGCTATCCCTCTGTTATGTAACACAGCCCATTACATCTGATCTGAGGGAGCCAAGACCCAGCAATATCTGTCATTGGAGGACAACCGAGAGAGCACAACACACACACACACATACATACAAATATACAGAGGTAGGAAGCAACTCACACAAGTCATACATACTGTAAATGAACACCAGTGCTGGAGAATAATTAACAAGTAATTTTAAACAACCAAGGAAATAATCAATAAACACACACAATGACTCCTCTTGAAAGAAACACCCAGAGAACTCTACTCACACTCCTTGACTATACACACACACACCCACACAGGCCATTCACACACATACTGTGAAACATCAGCATCAATTAGAGGTTATCAGCATAAAAAATATTATTCTAAAAGTATTCATAATCTAGTTACGTCCATGTAAATATTAGCAACAACTTTAAACTGATAGCAATACAGCTTCACTGCATTAACATTCACTACCGTTCAAACATATGGGGTCAGTAAAATTTATTAAATTTTTTTATTAATATTTTCATTCAGCAATTTCAAGATGAAAAGTGACAGTAAATACTAATAATGTTACAAAAGAAATTACATTTCAAATAAATGCTGTTCTTTCTAATTATTAAAAAAATCCTTAAAAAAATGTATCACAGTTTCCACAAAAAAATATTAAGCAGCACAACTGTTTGATAACACAACTGTCAGCAACAACGTTGATAATAATAATACATGTATACATAATAATACATATTTGTATGATTTCAGAAGGATCATGTGACACTGAAAACTAGAGTAATGGCTGCTGAAAATTTGCCTTTGCCATCACAGAAATACATTTCATTTCAAAATCTTTTAAATTGCATTTTAAATTGCAACAATATATCACAACATTACTGTTTTACTGTATTTTTAATCAAATAAATACAGCCTTTGTGAGCATAAAAGACTTCTTTCAAAAACGCTAATAAACCTTACCGACCCCAAACTTTTGAATGGTAGTGTACGTACATATATAAATTATGAAAAAGCTGCATTACCTTTCTCGCTCACAGACTCACTCTCGATCTCCACGTCCTCACAGCTGGTGTACTCCGGTGTAGTGGCCAGTTCCTCCTCTGAGCTGCTCAGGGACACCTGCCTCATTTTGCCGCCCCTCTTGTTTTTGTGAGGTTTGGGCGGCGGCGGCCTGATGGACTCCGATTGGTCAGAACTGAGCGAGTCGTTCCGCAACATGCTCTCCATCTTTTCTCGTTTACTCTTCCTTAAGGCCGAGACAGGATCCAGGTGCTGCTGCCTGTGGAGGGAGTCCACGCCGGGTGGACTGTGGTTGGACCTCCAGTGGGTGTGTCCGGGACCCGATGAGTAGGGGGGACCCCGCAGGGGCCCCAAGGGCTCCTCTATCTCTGTGTACGCCAGGGAGACGTCGCTGTGTCGCCGTTCATGCCTGAATCGCGAAACCTCCGCGTGCATGCGCATCTGCTCCTCGTAAGGTTGGGGTTTGACCGGGTAGCGGGCCAGGTTCGGGTCACTGCGGTAGCGGTTCTGGTACTCCTCCTGCCGCTGCCGCTGGAGCTCGTGCTCACTGAGGGGCGGGCCATCGGGCAAGAATCCGGGTTCGGGTGGATACTCTTCCTGAGAGTGCCAGCCGCCCCGTTGAGCGCGGTACGCACTCCGCGCTACCTCCGCGTCCTCATAGGAGCGGCCGTAGCCTCCTCGCCACTGGCGGTCTCCGGCCCCGTAGTCAGACGGCGATCGTGGCATGCCGCCCTCCCCTGGGGCATACTGCGAACGCTCCCCCTTCTCCTCCCTTTGGTCGTATTTTTGGTTTGGATCCCTGGTTTCTGATGGGCTTCTTTTCCTGTCAGAGAGAAAAAAAAAATAGTAAAGCCATGAACACTGAGAAATACTTCATTGCAGACACATTTTGAAACACGACGACACATAAAATCGACCTTAGGGCTTTTAACACTTGAAATGTTTAATCGTGGGTCATTCAAAATCCTGGTATCTTTTTTTACATTTCTAACTGCTCATAATGTACTTCACCCAAAAATAAACATTGTCATTTGATTTTCATACCCTTAAAGGGGTAGTTCACCCAAAAATTAAAATTCTGTTATTAATTACTCTCATTTTGTTCCAAATCCGTAAGACTTTCATTTATCTTCGGAACACAATTTAGGATATTTTTGATGAAATCCGAGAGCTTTCTGACCTTCCATAGACAGCAAGGGTCCTACCACGATCAAGGCACAGAAAGGTAGTAAGGACATGGTTAAAATAGTCCATGTGACATCAGTGGTTCAACCGTAATTTTATGAAGCTACAAGAATACTTTTTGTGCGCAAAGAAAACAAAAACAATGACTTTATTCAACAATTTCTTCTCTTCTGTGTCAGTCTCCGCTGCACGTTCGCGAGAGTAACACGTATGCGTGTGGTGCTGCTGTCATATTCTCGTAGCTACATAAAATTAAGGTTGAACCACAGACTATTTTAATACTACCTTTCTGTGCCTTGAATGTGGTGGTTGTGTTGTTGCCTATGGAGGGTCAGAAAGCTCTCGGATTTCATCAAAAATATCTTAATTTGTGTTCCAAAGATGAACAAAGGTCTTATGGCTTAAAAAATATATTTTTTAAATTAATAAAATCTAAAATATTTTCTGGTAAAATCTTACTAAACAAGTCCCTGAGTGAGAGTACTTCATAAAAAAAGTTTTCTACTTGCATTAAAACCAGAACAGTAAAATAAAACATGTTTCATGGAAAGGGGGGTCGTGCAGAACATGCATAGAGTTGGGTCTTCAACTTTGAGCAATAAGGCATGGGTCAATCCTGTATTGTAACTGACCTATACATTTCTAGACTTATTGTGCATTAATGAATGATTGATCCACAATTTCTAGTATTAAAAAAAAGTTTGTCTTCAATTTTTTTTATCCACTTTTAAGAAGACCACAAATTTTCAATATTCAATATCCAAATCCAGATGAACAAATCAAGACCCATCCTACATTTTTTCCTAGTATACTTTGGATTACATGATAAAAAATGGTTTGTAAACAAGCTTTCACATTGGCATTAAAGTCATTACATAGACTTCAAGCTATTAACAATATTCAATCTTTCAAAAACAGCATCAAAACACTGTAACAAATGTAAACGTGTCATCTGACTTCAGACAAAGCAGCAACATCTAACTGTTCACTGCAATTTCTTTTAAAAACAAGCAACATCTCATTTTAAAACACGTGCCGTTTTTACAAAAATAACCTGCCGCTAATGTGGTTACAACAGTGCCGGCTGTATGTGTTGGAAAAGACAAATGACACCAGTGTCCCCGGCATATCAGTTTCATCTTCAGAGGGAATAAGAGGTTTTGGCTCATGGGAAGCCCAGAGATGCTGGAGGAAAAACTGTGTCTTTATTGAAGGGTAAAGTTTAGAGCCTTGAAAAGATACAATCCATCCACTGCTCCCCTATCTGTGTGTTTGTGATCTCTGTCCATACGACTTCACAGCACACTAACACATGTACATGTACACTAACAAGGGAACATCTGTGGTCTAACAATTAAAGGTGGGGTAAGCGATTTTTCAAAAACGCTTTAGAAAACTGATTCGGGCTGAATAGCAAAACAAACTTGTAGCCAATCAGCAGTAAGGGGCGTGTCTACTCATGATGTGGAGGAGAGAGCGTTCTGTGAAAAGGACGGACATTAGCTGAGCCGAGTGACAGAAAGATAAAGATGGCGGATAAAAAACAAAAGAGGAAAATGTCTGCGGAACAAAAGAAGGCTTAAGGCAAGAAGTAGGACCCGTGTAAATATCAGATCAGCTTTCCAGCGCTGGAGAGAACTCAAGGAGCGGAAGTGTAGACCATGTGGGGGTGTTTTTCAGCTGCAGGGACAGGACGACTGGTTGCAATCGAGGGAAAGATGAATGCGGCCAAGTACAGGGATATCCTGGGCGAAAACCTTCTCCAGAGTGCTCAGGACCTCAGACTGGAACTAAGGTTTACCTTCCAACAAGACAATGACCCTAAGCACACAGCTAAAATAACGAAGGAGTGGCTTCTCAACAACTCTGTGACTGTTCTTGAATGGCCCAGCCAGAGCCCTGACTTAAACCCAATTGAGCATCTCTGGAGAGACCTAAAAATGGCTGTCCACCAACGTTTACCGTCCAACCTGACAGAACTGGAGAGGATTTGCAAGGAGGAATGGCAGAGGATCCCCAAATCCATGTGTGAAAAACTTGTTGCATCTTTCCCAATAAGACTCATGGCTGTATTAGATCAAATGGGTGCTTCTACTAAATACTGAGCATTTTTCAGTTTTTCTTTTTTAATAAATCTGCAAAGATGTCAACAATTCTGTGTTTTTCTGTCAATATGGGGTGCTGTGTGTACATTAATGAGGAAAAAAAATTAACTTAAATGATTTTAGCAAATGGCTGCAATATAACAAAGAGTGAAAAATTTAAGGGGGTCTGAATACTTTCCGTACCCACTGTATATATCTATGGTGTAGACAGCATCGCTGATTATAATAAGTTCCATAGTATTTTGTTGCGCGAGCCACTCGCGTCCGGTGTAGACACGGTGTAACATTGGTTTTGCTTTGTTTCACAGAACTAATCGTTGCCTGGGTTGCGTACGTATATGTGGGGCGGAGCTATCAAAATAGGGGCGAGACTCTTTTGGGGTAGGGGCGTGTTTGTTTTGGTGATTTCAAATGTCAACACTGGCTACCAGAAATCACTTACCCCACCATTAACCATCTAATCCACAAACGTGTATTACACACACCTTCTGCCACAACAAGAGCTTCCATTCTCCAAAAAAGTATCATAAATGAGAAATCTTTTATTTTTTTTATTTCTAATTGCTTCTCCTACACAACTGTACATGACATGTTTCCTAGAGTTGAAAAAGAGATCTCAACATGTCCATTCTTTAATGTCTGCAAAAGCCCAATACAAAAAGTACCCAATTTCACATCAAATTATTTTGAAAACAAATATGAGCAAAAATTTCAATATGAACTCAAACACTTATCATCAAAATCTTTTGAAAACAAACAGTCTGCGCAAAGTCTCAACATGAACTCAAAAGTATATCAAGTTCTTCTCAAATCATATAATCTAAGCAAACATATCTCGTCAAATTCTTAAATTGATTAATCTGAGCTAAATCTCAATATAACCTCAAACATTTCTCATCAAATTCTTCTCAAATCAATCAAACTGAGCAAAGTCTCAATATGAATTCAAACAGTTCTCATTAAATTCTTTCGAAAACAATTAATCTGAGCAGTCTCAATGTAAACCCAAACGTTTGTCATCAAATCAAGTCTCAATATGCATTCAAACTTGCCTCATTAATATTTTTTCTCAAATTAAATAATGGAAAAAAAAATATCAACGTGAACTCAAGCATCTCTCATCATATTCTTTTCAAATAATCTGAGCTACACTTTCCACATTCATTTTTTTAATGCAGTTCTAAACTATTACTCTATGTCAATAATTATAAATTTTTTATTTCTCAGTAGGAATTTTAAGGAACACACTGATGAAATGAAAAAGAAATTTGTAATGTTTGCTGAACTATAAAAGAGCAACTTCTGAGCAATAAATCTGAAAAATATTTCCTCTGTGATGCAAATATCAAATCAAATCACAGCACATATCAAATCAAACTTAAACATACTGAATGTTCTTATGACCTGCATATGAAGCTAGTGTACTATCTTGCAACAAGAACACTACAGTTCAACAAAAGCTCTCTGTTATTCTGCAGGGTGCTGTGGTCTGTAGTGTGCTGTTCAAGGGTCTGGAGCGATCTGTGAGCTGTTTTTGAGCGTGTACATGTACTGACTGATTAATGATCGTCGCTCAGGGGTTTTACTATATGGGTGTTCCTGTTGCATTATTCAACAGCAGCCTGACACAGTCGTGCACCATTCACAAATCCAGTGCAGCAGAAGCCTGTTTGTGTTTGGGATTGTGTTATGAACAGCAGTTTTTAAATAGTATACAGTATACAGTATACAGCCAGTATTAGCCAATATCACAAGTTCCAACATTAGATTAGCTACACACACACATATAACACCAAAAAAAGACCATAAAAAAGTTTAAGTATTTAAAAAAAAAAAAAAACGTATTTTATGTCAGTATAAAATATAACTTATTATATTTTGCCCAGGCAACATTTCCCATAGTCATTTGTGACCCTGGACCACAAAACCAGTCATAAGGGTAAATTTTTCGAAATTGAGATTTATACATCATCTGAAAGCTGAATAAATAAGCTTTCTATTGATGTATGGTTTGTTAGGATAGGACAATATTTGGTCCTATTCCGAGATACAACTATTTGAAAATCTGGAATCTGAGGGTGCAAAAAAATCTAAATATTGAGAAAATCGCCTTTAAAGTTATATATTTACGGTAGGAAATTTACAAAATATCTTCATGGAACATGATCTTTACTTAATATCCTAATGACTTTTGGCATAAAAGAAAAATCTATAATTTTGACCCATACAATGTATTTTTGGCTATTGCTACAAATATACCCCAGCGACTTAAGACTGGTTTTATGCTCCAGGGTCACATTTAATAATAAAAGTTATTAATTTGTCAATAAAAATGATAAAAACACACAAATAAAAATTTTCACAAAAATTAAAACACAAAAAAAACCATTCAAAATATGAATAAAATCTCAATGATTCTAAAATAACACTGATATATTGCTGATATAACATTGATACTGTCCTATAATACTACACAACCAAAAGTATACTTTCCCTTTATTTGAGAAGTACTTATGCTTAGAGCATAGCTGAA